TGTCCGCCCCAGATTTGCATGAGTCATGACCAAAACCACACGACGGGGTTGGAAAAAGTCGTTGAGAATGATAAATATTCAAACTGTGTTAAGGGGAAGTTTGTCATATCTTTTTGTGTAGAAACTGTGAAGAAAAATATTTCTTCGTGTTTCCTGTTTAAATACATTAGATCGGATTACATTCGTATGTCGTCGAAACAACAGGGTGTGTATTTTAACGCAAATGTAACGTGGAGGACAAGTATTAAATGGACGCAATGATAGCTGTGTTACTGAAAAAGATCCTCTGGCTCTTTAACCAGGGTAATTTATTAAAAGCCCAATTATTAAGTGCAGCTTGGCCCGGATTCGAACGAATGGTCTTAGAAAAAGGCTTCTGACTTCTCTCAGGATAAAATTAATTGGCAAGCATTTTTTTTTTTTTTTATCAGTAGATGAGTACCATCAGAACTTCTAATACAGTAGTCAATGCTGAGTACTATATTAGCTCAGCTTTTCATGTTTAGATTCAAGTATATTCATTTGAACAAACATTTTCAAAAGTTACACTGTAATTTGATCAATATTAGAAAATTTCCTACCTTAAAAATTCGAGAAAATATCAGGTTCGTAATAAACCGAAGATAAAAGGTTTCAAGACAACCTTTGAATTTATTTCGGGGTAATTACCTTTGTGGTTATTTTTGTTTTTGGATGTAAGAAAGCGTAGGTGGTTTGTATCCACAGTATAACATAGTTGACTAACAAACCAATTATTATTATAGTCTTGTAAATTAAAATCTTGCTACTGGAATCCCAGGTAGATTAACTACAAGACAAGGAAGAATCTAAAATGTTATTTAAGAAATTTGCACGTTAGATAAACGATTAAAAATATACAAAACATTCTATGATTGATTAATGATTATCTATATTTCACATTTTATTATATTTTTACATATTTATTATAAATGAATTCACAAAACGTTGAGAAATTAACACCGATTTATACCTCACAATCACGACAATCTACGTCTTCCAGTAGCGAAACGAGCCCAGACGTTGTGAGACGTGGAGGGTAAAATCATAAACATGACAGAAGAAACGCAAGGCTTATCTGGAGCTTTGGCAATTAAAAGCCATCAAGTCCCAACGGCTGGGTGGGCGTTGACTCTATATTGATGTCTATTTCGCAGCTGTTGTATGTAAATGAGGGAGATATATAGAACGTCAAATCTGGCCCGTTCACCCCTTTACGTCACACCCCTTCCGCCCTTGTAGCGTATAGATGTATTGCGATATGGTACAACTGTGAATTTGTCACAGGAAAATTGTTATTCTGTCATAATGATCGTTTGGGGAATATACAAAGAATATGTAGCAGCAACTGCATTGCATTTTTGTCGCACATTGTACTATTCTAGACAAGAAGATGTTTTATAGACTTTCACATGTATTTTGCATTAGTTAATGTCAGTCCTGACCTATCGTATATGAGGAAAGATAAACGGTTTTGTTTTAACATAACGAACACCATTATGTTGGTAACAAAACTTAGGGAAGCATTTTAGTACCACAATTTCAAGCTACTAAGATTCTAGATGAAGGATTAGTTCACTTGGTAATTCAAAAAAATCCGAGAGTTTTGATACTACGATAGGATTTTAGAGTTAGGTTCGTGACTCAGATAGGTGTTTTTTTTTTATTATGGACAAATTATGGTATTACCTTAGAATGGCTACATAGCATCCAATTTCATCTGACTTAACTACCTTACAACCAAAAAGATTAACTATACATGAAAGACGTCGACGAAAAATTAACAAATTAAACTCTACATAAAACATAACACATTCAAAACAAACCACGACGCAACACGAGTCCTACCACATATAAATACAAAACAGTTTAGGCAGGCTATCAGCTGTTTGTGGGGGCACACAAAGCCTAATGTCATGGGGAGGCAGGCGCGGCGCGCGTTTCTTTGTAGCATGCAACCCTTCTGTATGATATATCGCACGTTTTATTGATAGAGTTATTTCTCGCCTATTGTTCGCCTAATAGATAACATCGTTGACATCTATATCGTGGTTCATACATCTGCTCGCACAGCCTCCGCAGATTATGATTATAAATTTGCATAATATTTGTTATCACCCCAGTCTCGTTTTGTTTGCTTTCCCAGTGGCTTGAAACGCAGTTATTGATAGCGTTAGAGAACGCCCCTATATGACACCTATTATAAAGGTGGGAGGCTAATTTTTGAATGGTTTAAGTTTTTTGGTTTAGCTGAACTTTTTGGAAGGATGTACAGAACTGTTTCATCCTCAATAACTCAACCACGATTATTATGAAAAACCCTGAATTTATTTCCTTTTTGTAATTACAAGACTTAAACGTAAATTTATAGCTTTGTACAAGCCCTTATTTCCTTGCAACTGGTTATAAACTAATAAATTAGCTTTGCAAAAAGCTGGTAAAATGTTTGATTTCAAATTATTAAGTCGCAAGATTAACATTAAATATTTATTTTTCATTTTAGGGGTTCCACTAGCCCCGAATGTGTTATTTAAATTGTGTTAGTTATTTAATTCCAACCTAGTGTAAGCTGCTGACATTCAAAGTTTTAATTTATTATCGAAACCAACAGTCATTGCGAATAGATATCGACCTTTTCGAAAAAGGACCAATTACAGATATAATTAATTAAGTGGATTACTTCATTTGCCAATAACAGTTACAGTATTATCAAACAAATTCATCCACTCTGAAACTAACTTCAAACAGAAAGTGCAACATTGAAACCGTGAAAGTCAAAGTGGAAGAACCCGACAATTACGACGACTTATCACCACTTTTAATAACGATTTTAACCGGCTTTCCCAACTGGCAACTGCGTGCTCGCAGTGTTAATGTCGACTTTAGTTTATCATTGGGCGCATAAAAATATCATTCCTCGCACTCGGCGCTCTGAGAATTAAAAACGGCGACATCTTTAGTGCCGATGTGCGACTGCGATCCCAGCTTAATTAAAAGCTATTAACGTCTTGATTAGTAATGGTCGAATCACGTGACGTCCCCCTCCCTCCCTCTCGAGTTTCATCTTACCCCCACCCCACCCCTTAATTAAAAGGTGTCGGCAAAAATGTTTGCAGAGTGACAGGTGACGACAATGTGCTATGTTGACGTCTCGGTACGTTCACTTCACTGCTTCATTGCTGCTAAATTAATTAAGGAATTAGGCGCAATAATCTCACGGAGTTTATTGCGAGATAATTAAATTTGAGGTGTTAAGTCAGCGTTTGGTGGATAAAGGTTTGTGAGTACAGTAGTGTATTTACAACTTTGTAAATCATCAAGGACTGCGATGGCTTATTCCGTCTAAGACTGAATAAACTTTAAACTTCAAGTGACTTCAGAATATTTAATAAAAAAATGAGGTCATAGTTTTAGAGTTGCGGATTCTTGTTACATGGATTACTTACCTTTTACTATTACATTGTCAATGTTTTAGGTTTTAAGTGATGTAAATAATCCCCATTATTACTTAGAAACAACTCCTGGATCCTCTTAAACATCTCAATAAAATAAGAGCTTGTGTTGTTCACTCTTCTCAAAATAGTCAAAATAATTTACTACATTAGTTTTGACCTTGGGCTTAGTACAGTAATTTGATTATTTTACCGTTTTCCTGTCTCGGATAGTACTTACACCTGAATAATACACCGAAGGTTGGGTAATTCAGCTTGAGCAAGGTACCACAATAATTGTAAGAGTTGACGAATGTTAATGCGAGAACATGTTTTATTTTATGTCATACCGTTCAATAAAGAATAAAACCCCGATTGCCACTCAAACTAAAGAATTTTAACTTTGCTTGACTGATTTTCCGAACACTTATCTATCAGCATAGATTAAATGAGTAGGCTAATTGATGATTTGTCTACTCATTTAATCTATGCTGACATTGTCTCCTACGGTACCAAATCAACCTGAAGGAATCAATCTCACACCTAACATTCCACATACATTTATTCCTGTTCTTGCGGAATCGCCCAGAGTATGAGATGGATACAGTTCTTCAGTGTGGTGACATTTCCCGTGCGTATCGCACACCGGTAGTACAAGAGAAGTGTCAGACTTGACAGATGTCTGCAGTGGACGTGTTGACACATGTCCACTGTACAATGTACAAGTACTGTACTTGGTCTGGGACATAGTGGCCTTGTGTGATACCGCTGGCCGTGCGATCTTCATACCAGAATATTGCGTTTGGAAAAATAGTTTTATTTGTTATTGTGGTTACTTATGTTCGTTTATGTTTACTATATTTTGATGCAGTTTTGTTTTGTCTGCACTTTTTTTAAGTAATGTTTGACGAAATCTCTTAACTAAAGAAGTAGACAATTATGGATATGTTTTTTGTAAGAATCAGATAATTTTAGGTAAGCTCCACGTTTTTGAAACTCGTTGAATACGAGGCCCCATGCACTGCGGCTGCGAAATTCGCATGCGGTTTGGAAATTGTGGTGTCGCAGGATCCACTGGTAGCACTGACAGCGGTTGCGGCCCGCACCGCAGTGCATAAAGCTACCATAAGACTCAACGGCCGCAAAAAAAAACTGCGTTTTCTAGGTCCGCCGCACTGGACTGCGGGCCGCACCGAAGTGCATAAAAGCACCCATCAATGTACTTATAGAATCGCAGTGACAGGTGCATAAAAGGGACATAAAAAGATATCTAGAGACTCATCTTTTTGGCTTGAGGAAAATTTGGAAAACAAACTCTGTCATTCCAAACACGGCATGATATGAAATTGAATAAATAAAATGAACTTTAAGAAATACAATGTCTAAAAATATTTTATCCAATCTTTAGTTCTTCAAACGTGAATTTTATTTAATATTCATAACAGTTTTTTCCCATTTTCTCCCAGATTTTTTACTATTTCCCTTAGTACTGTAGTGTAAGTAACTCTAAGCTATGTTTATCTGTGTAGTATGTATTTGTATCATACTCACCGGACTCCCTGTCACTACGGTCGTCAGCACCATGCTGCAGCAGATAGTCCAGTTGTAGAGGTTCTCGTGGCGGCAGCAGCAACTCCTGACCAGCTGATATCTGCTGAGTCGTCTCGTAGTAGATCTACCAACACAATACTCACACTTTACAACTACGCTACCTAAAAACTGGCTACACCTGTTCTATATACATGCAATATCTATTTTAGTTTATAAAAGTCAATTGTTGTATAAACCTCGTAAGCATAGTTAGTTACATGCAAACTATTCATTGCCTACATTTTGTATGATCAGAAATCATGGATAAATAGTATACAGATAAGTGCTAACTATCTCCATAATAACTAATACCTCCACTACAGGTTTTTAAGATTGCACAATGTAAAAAAAAAATTATTGCATTAAAAATATCACTCAAATGTTAAGATTGTACTTAAAATTCACAGTTTGTAGGTCACATACACACACACCATTTATGATTATCACACATAATAGATAAGAGTTACTATTGTGAATTTTATTTAATGCATATTTTTATGTAGTTACTTATTAGACTGATTAAAAGACACGTAAACGTTTTCCAGCAAATTCCAATCTCTGTCTGAATAAAATTGGTCCCATAAATATTCTGACCTAGTAATATGATTTCTTAAATTGCAAACGTAATGGAATAGTTATTATGAAAACCCCTTTAAACATAATATTACCAAAAGCTCCCTGAATTGCTTCAAGCTATGTATAAAACTGTTTCCATCTATAAAGATAGGAAACAAGTAATGAAGTTATAAGACCAGAAGGTTACAAAATTAGAATAAACGTAGTACTAAAAGCTATTACAAGGCGAACGCTAGTAGTAACGTCAAAGTGCTCAAGGAAGTGCAACATAAAGCGCCAAATGCATTGTGGAAGAACTTAACGGCGCTTGTGCAGGCAACTTAGAACTGCACTGCAACTTGCAAAATAGTTCGGTAGGTCGTAATCTACTTCTACTACTTTGGACAGATTTATCTAAAATATGGTAACAGTTTCAAAAGCTTTGTTCTAGATTAGGATAATTTTTTTCCTGAACGTTTATACTATGATCTTCTTATTATATGAAACTTACTTGTATTACTTTATTTGTTTGATCGGATTGTCATTATACCCATTGGTTTTTCTCTCAAAGAGGACAAAATTATCTTAAAATAAGGTAAATTTCAATGTCTTGCACCGTAATTCCAATAATTTCAACGAAGAATTTTATAAATGTTGTCTAACCAGACATCAAAGCCCGGACTAACTGGGAAGAGACCATCAAAATAGTACACTTTTTTATAACAGTATCTATATAATGATAGGCAAGCATGTTTCTTTAAAACCTTTTTTCTCAGCTCGTGTGCATCGTAGGGAAAATCTAGGCAAACTTTTAGAAAGATATTTTCCTTTAAATGTGCAGAATCTATTTGTAAATTGAAATAGGCTTCAAAATAAGCACAAAAATGAATTTAAAATTAAAAAATCAACATAGGCCTTATGGGTTGCTATGATGAAGACGAAATAACAACGAAATACAAACAAAAAATCAAAATAAATGGAAGAAATTCTAATTACATGTTACAATTACAGCGTGGGGTGAAAATAGAGAAGTCCGTTTATTAGATACTTTTGGTCGACTTTTCGACTACTGGACGACCTCATGGTACACATTAATATAAGAAATTTGTCCTATTGGGGATTAAAATTTAGCGTTTATCATTCCTAAAGGTTTAAGGTAAGTTTGGACAGATGTCCTTAAAAACGGGTTTAAAATGTGAGTAACCTTTTGGGTTCTCATGAAATGTTCAAATCCAATGTTCTTATCTTACTGTTCGTAATACACAATAAATAAGGAAGTAAGTTTTCCTCTTTGATATGTCAACATCTCAAAGATACACATAACTGTACGATGAATTCCTTTGCAATTGTGTGATTGGACAGATAAATTAAAGCTGTCAATTATTGTACGTAATTTTTTGCTCCGATATGTGATGCCCACACACGCTCGCACGTACTGAGAACTAATACGAGGAAAAGAAACGCCTGGGAACTGCATTCATATCATTATTATTGTAACAAAGAAAAATAATGTATTTATTTAACTCAAAGCTACATACAGAAATAAACAAAAATAATTCTAAAAACATTGACCAAGTTTCCAAAAGCTTTACTTGTAATCTATTTAATACACTTTTTTTATTATATTTCCGATCAGCAAATTTAACTCCCCTCCAATCCCAGTGACGTTACACGACGCTAGCGTTACGTTAACATAATTGTAAGGCTTTGTCCGCAGAGTTGATCATTTTCATCAAGGCATTGTCCACTTTATGCGACAAGCTTCTGCAAAGCGTCGTCAACGTTGGTCATTTGAATAAATACCTCGCTCGTTATGGCGGGGTTCATGCTCAATAATGATGATTAATTGGGGGGTTCTTTTCGTTGTAATTGCAGGGAGAGACAAATTCGTATGATAATTTATTACTTTCAGTAACCTTTTCTTATTTTACACTAACTAATTTATGGGGCATGCATGGATATTTAGTGGTTTATAGTTTTTTCTCATACCTAAGATTGCAAAAAAAAGAGAAAAGAACCGAAGACGACTTGTTCAGATTAAACTTTAAATTTAATTATATCCATCTTTGTGTCAATTTTTATTTACCTGTCCAGCCCAGACCGGTCGTAAGTTTTGAGCCTCTGATTCCTTTGTGGATTTGATATGTTTGAGCCAACAACAATCGCTGCTAGAGTCAACGTAGCGTTTGATGCCGTCCCCAACACGCACCTGGAACATAGAGCCAACTGTGAGCAACTTGGGGAACTACCAGCTACTGTCGGTAAAGTAGATCGTGCCCACAGCTGATGTTCGTAGCTAGGATGTTGTCGTAGAATGTTCCTGTTGGTAAAATCAAAGCATTAAAGCATTTAAGATTACTTTATCTCTAGAACATATTACCAGCCTCTGTCGATAATGTAGAACATACAATTACTGTACTGTAGCATTGACTTTATATCTACACTACACATATCTAAGTGTAGATATAAAGTCAATGACTGTAGTTTGCTAAAGCGCTTGACGTTGCTCTGTTAGTCCTGTGTAAAATTTAACTTTAGGAATTACAATTAGGCCCTTAACTGATATATTTGGAAAAAGTTATCTTAATTCAGTATCAGTAATGGACTTGAATATTGGGTAAATATAATAATTTGCATGTTATTTACTCACCATTTTGATAAAACAGACATTTTAGAAGTAACGGTAATTGTAATTATAGTACAGGGTGGTCCAAAAAAGGTACTCATAATTTCACGGCAATTACTAAGCTGTAATATATAAACTGTACAAACTTACTCTATCTTAAAACTAAATACTCTACATGTTTTCCACCATTTCTGATAGACCTACAGAGTAGTTGAAAACATTTAAGTTATTGCCGTGAAAAGATGAGTACCTTTTCTTGGGCCACCCTGTAAATTACAAACTATTAAAGTTAACTAAAAACTAAAATGTATTGTTCCTTTTATAATTATTATTGCCTATATACACTCAAAGATAAAAATTGTGTTATTTGTTCTAAGTGTACTGGTACATTTTTGCTATGTAATAATACAATAACGGACAAATTTAATTACAACCATACCAACAGCTGAATTGTATACCATCGACTAAATTTAAATCAAAACAGTTGATGAAACAAGCGGGAACCAGGAAATCGTCAGCGCCTGTAAAATATTCTATCGGCAGTCACACTCATACACAACACTGGTGCGTATAGTATCTCTTAACAGCAGGAGCAAATGTAACTCAATAAAAGAAATTGTGCGGGGCAATAATTGTTGTAAAATTATTCCATATTGTAACAAACCAATTTATACTCTTAATGTATTCTAACAAATCTACCTTACCATAATAGTTTACCGAATGTATAATTCACTAATGTTCTGAGATTATACAATTAACCTCTAATTGCAGTAAAGTTATCACCGCAATGTACTACGATTTGTCAAACATCTTATACAAAGCCCCACTTTCTGGCATTACTAGCTCTCAATATATTAATCAGGGGCTGGTGACAATAAGACTGAAGATAAGACAGCTGATTAATGTGATAAGACGCAATCTGTCTGTGGTTCGCACCCCTTCACCACACCCTCTTTAGGTGATTTGTCAATCTGAGTCCTTGAAATTCATTACCGTTCCTCCCCATCCCTAACAATGGTGTAAGAAGTCTTCATTGGTGAATTGGTTGCAACGTAGGGATGATTTGGGGATTTGCAGCTTGTAATACATGTTAAGTTTGTTTTATACAATTTTTATTTTTTTATTCGTTGTAATCACATAAAATATATCTGTGGATTAATATTAATTGATTTGTAATCATCAAATATAATTGTAATTTAATAAGACAATTCTTTTTAAAAAATAGTTAAATACATAGTTAAATTTCCAAGAAAAATATATACAATTTTTTGTAATGTTTAGTTTAATCTGTCATGTATTTTTATCATTAAATGTCAAAAATATAATAAATACTGAAACGTTAAAAAAAATCATGCCATTCACAAATCTTCAAAAATCCACAATGGAATTACAGAGAATGCATCTATTATAAACTGTCAGTAAAACGTATAATTAAAACTATACTGAGTTTTTAACTGTTTTTACATTTTACGCTATTAATTCTGTAAGGGATTGAAAGTATAATAAGAGGAACGTTAGATGGAGTAGGCGCTACAGCGAATAGCTCAACAATTGGATCAGCTGATTAAAGAGAGAGAGAAAGAAAACATGCCTGTCTGAACGTACAAGCTACGATTAGTGGAAATGGTATTAGGTTATAAGTGTGCGCGTTGTACGTGTGTTAATGCAATTTGTAATGTTTTTGAAAACCTTTCGTACATATTGTGTAATTTTAATGTGTTTTGAAGTTCAATTTAAGTTGATAATAATGTGTCATCTGTGTTCGAAAATTCAACTGGAATCATTCAAGGTATGTGTTTGTCATAATTAAAATATTCCTTTGTAGGTTAGTACATAACAGCAATGGCATTTACATATCAGACCAACCATTAATAGGTAATTAGATAAAACTTATCTTAAGTATTGATATCATCGGAATGCCAATAATCCTTATTGGATTAGCAACAAAGTAAACCTTTTTTATATATTTTCACTTAATTTATTATTAGTTTTTACTTGTGGTTTCTATCTTAAAAATCAGCACTTAAAAAAAATGTATATCGTATGGTTGAACCTTAAATAAAGATAAGCAACAAAAACAATGTCTATGTTTATAATTTTTATATCATGTAGGCCTATTACTAATTTGTTTTGATCAATATCAATCATTTACTTACTGTATTCAATACTCAAATAACTTGAGCGTCAATACACAACGTTTTCAATAGCGAATACAGCGCTCTGCCATCACTTAACCACTTAGAAGCCCCCACTAAGGGGTAAGAGGAGCAAGATAGATGCCCCCACTTACCCCCCTCCCTGTAGGCGTTCTCCCCCTGACTCTGAGCATCCCCCTAATGGAGACTTACTTTACATCGTACAATACACCCGCATCATGGTGAAAAATGACGTCACTGACTCTTGCTTAGAGCACAATACATGTCTCCGAGTGAAATAGTATAGAAATGTTGTGAATTTGGAAAGTGTGAATAAAGATTTACTACAAACTGAGTCCATGTTCTTCTTGTGTTCTGATACAATTACATATAGCAATTGTTATATTTGTTACCAGTGATATATATTACCAAGAAGTAAATATTTTAGGCATTTAGCTGTTGCAGTAAGATATATTCCATATACATTTCTTTTTATGTAGGTATTTTTATAGTATATGAATTAGTATATGAATAGTATTTGTATTTTTTCAATAGTATGGATTTGTAGTTTAAAGTTTGTTTTAGAAATAATTCCCAATCTCATTTGTCAACACACTAAAGCTTATGCAGGACCCATGTCAATGTAGGTTATTCCTAAGAAGGTAGTTGGTTTTAACATACATTTAAAAATTACACTACAATCTAACTAAACAATCAACGTTTTATACAATGGGAAGAACACTTTTATTTCAAACATTTATTCGGTCTGTCAACCAGTATCTCAAACACTATAGTACAGTATAAATTTCCAGCGTGCTAATAATAAATTAAGATTTCTATCAAATGTTAAAAACCATTACCCCCTTTATGTGTTGTTTATTTTTTATTCGCTCATATGAAGCAAAAAGAATTGTCAATGTATTTTTTGTCAATGTAATTTGGGTTTGACTAGTTTACCAATGGAGAGGAGCAATAAAATTTAATTTCGTCGTATTCCTCAAAGGAAACCTTTCGTGGACAAAAACTGTTAGTAATTAGGCTACCAATCGTTTTTGAGTAATCATATGTACAATCTGTCCATAAAATATCTCATGCGTGCTTAATGAAAATTACGAAGGTATTTTTATTTACATAGTATTTACAATATACTAAAAACCAACATCGTTGTTACTTTTAATACTAACTGATTATACATAGTTTTCAATGTTTGATGCTAGTCCGTGTTTTATCCGCTAGATGTCACCTGGGTATGGAGCGTTACCTGTCATGGTGTCGATAAGGTAGATCACGCTTCCAATACCATACTATACAATACTAGTCAATACCATATTTTTCGAAATAGTTTAATGAATCAATTTACTGTTACATGGATGGTAGGGAATTAACAAAAACAGATTTTTATAGTGCGTTATCTCTTTGCTTAATTCTTGCTTGAAATTTTTGCTCCCGGGTGAAAATGTAAAAATGTAAGTTATATTCTCGAATATACACGGTGATAATCTCGAAGCTTTATTACTTCTGGATAACTATTTATAGATTTATAAATATTAATACCATGTAGGAGTAGCACCCTTCATTACTAGAGATCTCTAGATTATGAAATCCCTGTTAGCAATTATTTAACCAACAATCGCATATCACACGTTGTAACCCGCACCAAAACATGTTTGGCCACAACGGACACCTTTTCTGAAAAACACATCGAAGTGTGAAATCTAATATTGAAATTCCCTATTGTCGCGAAATATCCAAATCCGGACTACTGGAGTGTGCGATGTACAATGACCGGCTTACACCCAGCTGGCACCCGCGGGACGTCCGGACACCCATGGGTGAGGGTGGATCACCCCGGGACGTCCCACAGATCAGTGATCACCCTTTGACACCTCCGAAGAATACGATGGGCGAAGGTGCGAGGTCGTAGAAATCCGATTTTAGATTTGGATCAGTTTTGTGGTTAGTTTGGTGGATTGTTTACAATGTGAAAGAGACTGTGTATGTGGTTTTTCTTTCAAAAGACGTTTAATCTCTACAGGAATGTGATACAACATTTTAGGGTACAAAAAGCCAATGTATAGTATGTTTTTAATTTCACAAGCGCTTTCAAAAACTATATTTTTAACACAGCCTGAAGATGAAAACATAGTTTTCGAAAGCGCATGTGAAATTAAAAATATATATATATATATATTGACCTTTTGTGCTTTAAAATTTAGTATTACATTATGTTAATTTGCCAATATCTACAACTTAAATTATCTGTAGGAAAGTGTTAAGCCAACCGGACTTATAAGTTATTGACTCGAGAAACGCGTCAACTTCACATTCATGGCTGTAATTTGTTGTAATTGTAGCCTAATTCGTGAGGGAGTGTAACGGATCACCCAATTGTTAGAATCTTTTTGATTTTTTTTATGTGTAATTTGGTTTTCATACATTTAATCAAAA